CTAAATAACTTAATTTTTATTTATTTATTTTAATTAAAAAGACGGGAATGTATAATTTTCTGAAGGTAGGATGCTGTATCAATACAATATGTTTATGTGTGTGTGTGTGTGTGTGTGTGTGTGTGTGTGTGTGTGTGTGTGTGTGTGTGTGTACTCTATATTTAGAGATCAAACAACCATATATTTTATAATCTAATACGGAATTCAGCCTTTATAATATATGCTGTAAACTATACAGAAATTAAATCATTTACTAACGTGGGTATTCTCTTTTTTATGGCCTTGTATTTAAGCTGCTTTGAAACTGCTTCAGTGTATAAAGTTTGCTACAAAAATGAAATTGTCTTGCTACAACTTGTCGTGTTCTTCTTATTAACACATTATGTATGAATTCACTGAAATATCTTTCCCAGAATGCCAGTGGTGTTGCTTCTTGCTTGTAGAGCAATATCTTACTTTACTTGAAAGAAACTAAACACAAAGTATAAGCATAGTTGGTCCAAAAAAAGACACTTTACAAGTCAGGTATCATACCGTCTCTTTTACTAAAAATGCCTTTTCCTCTTTTAAACCCAAACATTTTAAGAAAGAGAACACACATAAAAATGCAACTCTGTTTCCACTCACAGCAATACAAAACTTGCAGCACAGCCTCTTTAATATGCATCCACATGAGATGTGGTTCCTGAAACCACCCAGACATTTTGAAAACATCCACATTTGGAAGTTGACCTTGGGAAAATTACGCAATAAATATTTCAAATTGACAATTTTACACCTTAACTGGACACAAGTTGTCCACTTTGGTTCAACTTACTACTTTGTAAATATACTAGTACAGTGCTGGTTTGCCACTTTGCCTTTTCCCCATGTTATATATAAAACTCTGATTCAGATTAAGGCAAATAGGTTTGGGCCAGTAAACCAGCTTCATACTGATTGTCAAAAGCTGAACCTTTTCATCCAAAAGTGAGTTTGTTTAAATCAATTTAACCTCAAAGAAAAAATGATATGGCACACTAACACCCAGGTCTCACGTTTGTGTAGAAAAGCAACCACCAAGGCTAGTATTGCACCGTAATCTACAAAAGTACACATCAATGAAATTATTAGAGGATATTTCATGCACAAAACTAAACTGTTAACATACTAAACAGAGAAATCATGGGGGGAAAAGTGAAAACTTAATGGAGTCAGTGCAAAATACCCAATTTCTGAAATTTCAATTTGACCAGTGAGCATCACAAGTTCTCCAGAGTGATTGTCATTGTGAGGAAAATTACAACATTTCACTAAAAAAAAAAAAGAAAGAAAAAGTTGAAGCTAATTTAAAACAACAACAACAAGAAAAAACAATAATATTGGTGTAATCCATTTTTCTGGTACCACAAATTAACTGTCATCTCTTTTGGACCATTTACTAATGTGTGTGTGTATACACTGCTGTATTCATTCAACACTGTATTCACCACTTTTAAAAAAATTCTACCTAAACTACATAAGACCAGTCTACATTAAAAAAAAAAAATGCAGTTATTTAACTCTGTAACCCTTGACCAAATTGCTCCTGCAAGCCCAACCACTGTTCATATTTATTGAACTCCCATTTTATTTGGGAAAATTGGAAAAAATAAAAATAAAAACAAAAATAAAAATCTAATCAGAAGCAATAACTCCAAAGCAAACTTCAGCCAAAATCAGAGTTGTCTCATAAAAATGAGGAAAAGCACTTCAGTTGCTGGTCTCCAGAAAAGTCCTCATAACCCCTACACACGATACCAATAATAAAACAATCACAATCATTCATGTGTACACACACACACACACACACACACACACACACACACACTAAGATGCTGGAGGCATCTATAACATGTGCTTGTTTTAATGTAATTACATTTTAGCCTGGTTTACTAAGATGCTACACATATTGGCTTTTGAACACTCCAAGTTACTATTTTAGCAGGAAGCAGATTGGTCAAACCTGTTTAATATTTAAAGAGAAGTATCTCTATGATTAACAGTAGTACCCTGGAGTTTGAGGACAGAAAGAGAAAAAAAACCCTCAACCAGAGTTTTGGGAGTAAATGCATGAGAACATCACATACGAGCTACATGACTACACTGATTATTGCTAGTTCTATGATGTGTTTTTTTTTTTTTCTTATATTATCAGTAGTTGGCCATTTTTATGACATTTCTTCTACAAATAGAGCAAAACAAAATAGATCCATGGCTTTGTTTCCACTAGCTTTCCAAACCACATGCATGTATTCTAACACTAACTTTCCAAACACAAGACTCCACAGAGGCCAAGAGGACACACTTGGCAGTTTGGTTTTGGCTTTCTTTTTTAAGTTCTTTTTTTTTTGCTGGTTTCAAGTGGATTTTTGATTCTTGAATCGCTGCTGAAATTTGAAGCTGATTTTGGCTTAATTAAAATTGGCTCCTGATTTTCATTTTCTGATTTGTAAGTTGAGAGAAAATGTAATTGAGCTTTGGAAATTTTGTTTAAAGAAAATTCCCCACTTCAAAAAAAGGCTGCCTAAACTACACAAGACCAATCTACATAAAAAAAAAAAAAAGTTGCTGTTATTTAACTCTGTAGCCCTTGACCAAATTGCCCCTGCAAGCCCAACCGCTGTTCATATTTATTGAACTCCCATTTTATTTAGGGAAAATGGAAAAAACAAAATGAAATAAAAACAAAAACCTAATCAGAAGCAATAAATCATAAGAAAACTTAAGCTAAAATCAGACTGGTCTCATATAACTGAGGAAAAGCACTTCAGTTGCTGGTCTCCAGAAAAGTCCTCATAACCCCTACACACATTATACCAATAACAAAACAATCACATCATTCATATCCATAAACTATCATGTCCCAGCCAAAAATCTAACAACACACACATTCTCAAACACTCACATGAAATGTTTCTACAGGTAATACGAAAGACAAAATTTCCAGCATTTTCTGTTTGAACAGGAAAACATGACAGTGACTAGGGGCTGCTGCATTACAGGAAAACTGCCTGCAGGGGGTGCAGCTGGTGAGGCCGGTCCTGGACCAAAGTGGAAGAAGAGATGGAGGGTGACGTTCCAGGTGTCACAACACCCCAGCCAGGAGAGAAGGTGGGCTCACAGAAGCCTCCTGTGTTTTTACCTGTAAGAAAACAGAGGACATTTTCAAGTCTCAATGGAGTTTATATCATTTCCCTAGAGCCTGCTATTGTCTAAAGCAGGGGTGGGCAATCCTGGTCCTCGAGGGCCACAATCCTGCATGTTTTAGATGTTTCCCTCTTCCAACACACCTGATTCAAATGATCAGGATCGTTATCAGGCTTCTGCAGAGCTTGATGATGAGCTGATCATTTGAATCAGGTGTGTTGGAAGAGGGAAACATTTAAAACATGCAGGACTGTGGCCCTCGAGGACCAGGATTGCCCACCCCCGGTCTAAAGGAATTACATTTTGAGAAACAGTTGTCATGTTTTTTTGTTTTTTTCCCCACTGAACAAAAACAAACTGACAGTGACAAGTGACAAGAATTAGAGTCACAGCAGAGGATGCCAACATTCTGTGGTGAGACGACTATTTTACCTCACACTTCACCCATATGTTTTAAAAATGTGTATTAAAGGTACCTGGTGGAGTTTTTAGGTCTGTTCACATCAAGGCAAGGCAATGTCATTTATATGCCACTTTTCATACCCAAAGCTAACCCACAGTTGTCACAGAGAACACAGGCAATAGTGCAGGAAACAAATGGTTAAAACAATGAAGGCAAACATACAGAAGCACACCAATAACAACACTACAACGCACAAAGCAATGCATTTTAGTCAAAAGAAAATGAATTTAAAAACTATTTTGAACAGGTAGGTCTTTAGATTGGAAGTCACCACTGTCTGAAGTCCTTTTCACAATTTGTTCCACATCAGAATTTACAACCAGCACTGCCCCCTTTAGACTGCACACTGAAAAATTGGCATAGCTCATTTTGGTGCAATATCAACACAATATCAGCTGAAGATGTTTGACTGGTGGCTTCGACAGACCGGTGAACAGTTCATCGTTGTAGCACAACCTGCTAGAGGTAAAAGCACGGTGACAGAGGGCTTTAATGTGTCAGTTGAAATTTAGCTCTGAATCCGGGGAAACGCAGAATTAATACTCTTCAAGAACAGACTATTAAGGTGAGCACAGACTTCAGTGGTTCCAAAAAATTCTACTTCTGTTTTGTCCTCATTTACCAGGAGAAAATTTTAGACTGTCCAGCTGCTAATTTGCTTGTAGTAAGAGCACCTTTGCCAACACTGAGTACTCAAGTGCTAGTATTGTCGTATTGCTCTATGTTGTCATGGGTGAAAAATGCCTTGTTTTTTACTTTTGAATGCAAGCAAAAATGGGTCTTGATGAGTATAACATGCTGCATGACTGACAGCTGCAGAAACCGAAGGATCGAATCACAGTTTTCTGAAAACTTACCTTAACTTACAAGCCAAGCACAACCATTATTTTGCTATTTGTAAAACCAAGAACACATTTTTCCATCTTAGGCAGGTTGTTAAGTTAGCTACAAGGTGAGCTGGACTTAAATTATAAAGTCTGTATGGTTTGTTGTTCAGTATTAAGCTCTTTTTACAAGAGTTAGTGTCATTACATTTCGCAAGATATTGCAGAAAAGAAATGACCTGACTGACTACATGCAAAACATTTTTAAGATGAAGATTTTCATCAAAAGCCATCAGCTTCATTGTGTGATCAGGACACTAATCAGCTCTGAGCAAAACTAGGGACTGTACCTTTAGCAGGCCAGGGGTGTGAGGAAGAGGATGAGGAACAGAAGGAGGAGAAAGGCAAGGGAGAGGAAGGAGGAATGGAGAAGGAGGCTTGGTGAAAAGAGGAAATCCTGTGTTCGTTCTCCTGAGGTGACTCAGCAAGAGTCAGGAAAGAAAAACAGCAAGAATAAAAGGTTCACATTAGGTTTCCCAGTAATGTGAAGAGAACATTCACATGTGAGAACTTATAAACTCACCTGTAAGTTGATCTTGGCTCTCCTCAAGACATCCTGTGTTCTTGACACTGCAAACAAGCAACCAGAGCATCTGTGAGTCACCATTTATTTATTCATCGGTTAAACATGCTAAATCAGTATGATGAGGAAAGTGAAGAATTGACTTAAATAACTACAGTCACTCAAAAATTCCTGTTGTAAGATGTAAAACATTTTAAAAGTTGATGAGTGGGAAGACGGAAGAGGAGCAGACTAGAGAAAACAGAGGAAACTCATGCAAGACAGCAAAACAGTCTTGCATGATCTAATCTGCAGTCGATGCCGAAAGATCATCAATAAAGTTTTATGTCTGCATTGAGAAACAAATGAAATAGCTTTAGGTAGATAGGGTTTGGTGTTTGTTGTTTTCATGCTTAAAGCCCAAAGAATGTGATGTATGGTTTTATATTTTCTAGAAACATGTAGTGTATGTGAGTGCCTGAGTGACTCACATTGGCTAACTATAAAGTGTTCCATGCTATCTTTGGTATTGTTGGAGCTCTTCACTTTTTCCATCGCATCCTTAAGAGCCTGATCTCGCTCTGAAAGCTTCAGACGGAGAGAAAGAATCTCCTCCCGGTCCTAAATGAAAAAACACATAAACATGGAAAACTCTTAGTGTATAGCCACACATCTAGATACAGGCATACATAGTAAATAAGTGTAAGATGTAGGAGTAAATGAAACTGACTTTTTGACAGTATTTCAAGGTTTGTCATTAAACGTGGAGAACTTCTATTACATTAAGATGTAAAAGATATTGGCAAGTGTCTTACTACCAAGAAATACTGAAAAAAAACAAAACAAAAGCATTGACCTCACAGGGAGGTGCAAAGAAGAATCACAAAAAGCAGACTTTAAAACCCCTAAACTGATCATGGTCCCTTTACATGTTCCATTGTATCATAGTCAAATTCAGATTCTTTTATGTACCACCAGGAAGTGTTTGTTCAGGCTTGCTGCAGGTTCTGACCTGTTTGGTTTCCTCAGAGTCTGGCAGAGCTGCTCTCCAGAACTTCTGGAGCAGAGAATCAGCCTTGTCCAGAATCTGCCGCAGAGTTTTAGTGTCCGACAGTAGCTTTTGGACAGATCCTGTGTCTGAAGGCTGAGACACACAATGCATTAGTTCAATAAAATATTTAAATACTGATTCATCTATACATTTTTCTGGCAATACGTGAGTCATGAGTTTTATCAACGTTTCTGTATCACCAGCAGCCAAAAAACTAAATAATAACATAAGGCAAAATAAATAAATAAATAAAATGGGCCAAAATAAAATACATGAACCAACATTATGAAACAAAATAATCACTTGGTGAAGAAGAAACACAAAACTAAATACATGGAATGAATAAATTGAGAAACAACAGAATCACTCATTTAAAAAAATTTTTGACACAAAACATTGAGTGTATATCGGTTATTCTTCTATTTTCACAGAGATGTAGCTTTGAATTTATTTTTTTTATGATGCATTTTAAAAATTATATTCATGTTTTTCTCATAAAATTGCATATTAGCAGGTTTAAAAAGCCTATAACATGTACATTCATAGTTCTATTTTGGCTTCTGTCTCTTTAAGGCCTCCACCTGAATAGCCCAGTCCTCTGTGATTGGTCCAGTGGGCTGTCAATGGTAGCACTAGTTATTTACTGAAACCCCCAGATCTGGGTATAGGGATGTAGTCATAGCAGAAGCGGCTCTAGTCATGAAGTACAATATTTAAAACATCTATGGATAAAGATTTGAAAACTTTACTTATAAGGGTACCATCAAATCTGAAGTGCAGTCTCATTTTGTCCACAAACAAAAACATATTCTTGTACTAAGGTCTTTTTTTTTAATAGAAGAGTTCTAAAAGTTGCTCAGTGGGGCTTTTGATCCTAGCTCTTGATTTAGATTTAATTCAAAGGAAGTAGAAGATTAATCTTGACTATTTTCTTCAAAAACCACAAGTATTGCCTGACTTTGCTGATGTTTGTGGTTCTTCAACCTCTCACCTGCTGAAGGAAGAACTCCTGTGAGGTACTCAGTGAATAAAGGATGGCTTCCATCCTATGGAGGAGGGCACTTCCCTCAAGGATCTGCTGCTGCAGAGCCTTGAAGTTATCAATGTGGCTGACTGCATGGCGGCCATTATTGTTGGCAAAGGAGTAATTTGGGACTTGCCCTTGCAAGGTTGAGGCTGCTGTGAAGAAAAACAAGAATTCAGAATAAGGACAGAAGGATGATACATGAGTTATATGTGTACTACACCCCAACTATAATAAAGGTAAGGATGCTAAGACCTCACTTATATTAGAAAATTCTGTAGAGGTGTATTTCAGTCACTCTCTTCGATTCCAAATTGTGTAACTTCACCCCCTAATGCAAATACACATTTTGTACTTTTAGGTAGATGTGCAATCCCCTTGAGAAGGTAGGAAGCTGCCACACTGGCACATTATTATTGACTTGAAAGTAATATGAATATAGATGGGTGTCTTGTGCCTTTGTTTTGGTAGTGTTTCTTCCTGTGTGTGTTTTGCTGCGCTGCTGTGTGCTCTGCATTTTCAGGCTGGTCGGGGACATGGTCGAAGAGGACTCACTCGCTCTCCACCACAACTGTTCCTCATCATAATCAGCACTCCTCTTAAGCCGGCTTCTCCCCGTGATGCAGTGCCAGATGATTCAGTGTCCTATGAGCGGTAGATCAGCTATGACTAGTTCTCGTGTTCTCGTGCTTATTGTTCATCGTTTCGTGCTTACTCTCTCATTTCATCATCTCCTTCAGAGCCTCCTCAGCCTGACGTTGTAGACCTTGCAGGCTGTAGACACACTCTGTCTAACTTTATTTTCACCATTTCACTGACTGAATGTTGGTGTTCGTGGTGGAAGACGTACTTCAACTGTTTAATATCACACACTAACAATACTGTCAAGGAATAAGACCTGCATTCATTTCATACTGAAAAGTGAAGAGTGAAAGAGGTTTTATCAGCACAATATGCTGACATTTACCTGATATCTGTTCAATGTGGCGTTTTTACTTCTGATTCGGATAGTTGAGGGAAACGCATCGCATAATGTTTAATTTGGCAGTAAAACCTGTTCCCATCACCACAACATCAGCCTTTACAGTGGTCTGCTCAAAGAATCGCTTTCTTTTGCTCCAAATAATTGTATTTATTTGTAATTTTGATTATCAAATATAGTATACAATAGTGATTGGTTCAAAATAATGTTTGAGTGCTACTCAAGATAATACATTTATATGTATATATGTTTTGTTTTTTTCTCTTAAAAAAAAGAGAGTACCAATAAGACTACCATAACAGTACTGTATTGGTAAAAGTAGCAGTATCGTTAACATCTTAACAATATCCATTCTTTACCATGTGTTCTCTAGAGCTTGGAAGAATTTGCTGGGCTTTCAGTGGATCTAATAGAGATGTTTTTACAAGGTTTCGAGGGCCTTTCTTTAACACTTACATGCAGTATGAGTGTGTGGTGCTGATGCTTCTATTTTGCACTTGACTCTTTCACAAGACTCCAAAACATCTGACTCCCCTGTTATTTTATGTTGTCTTTTTTCTTGCTAACCAATTTGCTGTGACATTTGTTCTGGTTTTGACTGCAATCCCATGTTTCACTACCTTTTCAATTACTAATTTAATCCCTGTCCATAGGAAACAGCTGGGGTGGGCTGGAGGGGAACTGGGAGAGGTTTGTTCTTGATTTAATCGAAACTGGACTTGCCAATGTAATATCATTAACACTGTAAAATGCCTCTTGATTGTAAATCAAACGATTTTGTGAAAGGAAAAGAGTGCTCCTGTGTGACATAATGATACCAAGAAAATGTGTTGTCCAAAATCATTTTGCTTTTGTAAGTAAAGATGACTGTTTTAGGTACAAGCTCACACAGTCTATCTTAACCTAAATTTCTTACCCTGATCAACTGTGTCCTCTTTATTTTTCTGCACAGAATATTGAAGAGAGCAAGGACTGACGAGTCCAGTGTCTCTCACAGGTGGAGAGAGAACGCTACCTATGGAGACAGACTTCAGTCAGTACTGACTTGGAAAATCTTCCTTTTTAATAAATCTTCTAAATTCTACTGTTGCGATCTGCTTTATTCCTCATTAGTTTAAGATACAAGTTTGTGTGTAACAGCTACTGACCACTGAAGAGCTGTCTCCTGGCTCGAGGTTGTGTGTCATTCTGTCCACTTAGCTGCTGGTCCAGCGGAATGTGGAGCGTCTTGGGGTCAAATGTGACAGTGCTGTGTTCTGGCTGCTCACCAGCACTGACCTGACCTGTGAAGAAACAGACAAACACAGATGATGAATACAAAAAGTAGCCAATACGTATGCAGAGTGTGAATTAAGAGTGCAAAAAGAAGCAGAGCTTTGAATGTGAACGAGTGGTGAATTTTGCTGGATATTTTCATGAAACAACTTAGTTATCAAATATCATTGATGTA